GTCCTTTGGTCTTTTTAGCAGTTATTGATAAAGCCTGCTCTGATTTTGAACATAAGTGGAAGTTTGTTGATGACCTCAGTTTGGGTGAAGCATGTAACACTGGGGATCATTCCATATTGCAAAGTGAAATTATCAAACAGTAAAACAGTAAATGAAACAGTAAAATTCTATTGAATCAATTCAAAAGCGTGCCTGCAGAACAATTCTTCGGAATCGCTATATTGGCTATCTTAATGCCTTGTCATTGTGTAACCTAAGTCTTCTAAGTGATAGAAGGCATGAGGTTTGCATTTCCTTTGCTAAATCATGTATTAAATCTGATCGTTTCCACAAGTGGTTCACGGTCAAGGAATACAACATGCCTCTAAGAACCACCACTGCCGTGAAATTCGTTGAGCCCAGATGTAGAACCAACAGATACAAAAATAGTACTATCCCTTACTTGATACGTGTACTTAATAGTATTACCTTATAACTCATGTTTTGTTTTTTTTTATTTCTAATTTTTTGGCTAATTTTGAGAACTATTCTCCATCTTGCTGACAGTTCCCCTTTCCCCTCCCCCCCCCCTTTTTCTCCCCTTTGTTCTTTTTGAATGTTGTATTTTTTAATTTGATTCTTGATTATCCATTTTAATGTATTTACATTGTACTTGTATCACTTTTATTCAATATCATTATTGTATTTAACAATTTTATTCTTTATAATATATGTATTTTTAACCTACCAATTTTTAATGTTCTCATGTTTTAATGTTTTTTTAATTGCTCTGTTAAATTTTAACGTAAATATTACTGTATTTTGTAAATCTCCTGTAATTCAGCCTTTTTGGCTGCTAGTTGAAGATCAATAAAGAATAAAATAAAATTTTAAAAAAAAAATTTAAAAATTGTTATGGTAATATTTTATATAAATTTTATGTACACAGATTTATTTGTATTTTATTTTATTGGGTGGAAGCTGCAGGATAGCCACATAGGAAGTGTTGCTATTATTATTATTATTATTATTATTTGTGTAATGTTTTTTGAATATTGTGTATTTTATGAAGTGAGGGTTCATGGTTAAATTTGTTCAACCTTAACAATTCAGCCATTGCATGCCGGCGTATGAAATATTTGGTGAATACTGGCATAGGTCGAATAAGTTATTGGTAAGTTTTGTAAGTTAAGAGGACACTGAAGCACACTGGTATATGTCGTAGTACAGCGAGTACGTCAAAAAATTGTGTGCATGTACAAAACTTTTCAGTGTATGCCAGCGTATGGCTCATACGTTCCACATACGCGGGCCATAAGTTGTAAGTTATGCGATCGTTGACACACGTTATTTGTAAGTTTCTCAAAAGTTAAAATACGTCTAGATAATGTCTAGCATACCCAAAACTCATTTCTAATCTAATAGGGTATTGTTGATACGGTGATGTTAATACTGCGATTTCTAGTGCGGTTATGATTTGAATCGACGAGCAGCGGCCTTTTTATAGGCTACCCACGTTGCCACGCGCTGGGTATATGATAGACTATTGTTGGGCAAAACAATTACTATAAGTTATCAAAATGTTGTATATAAGCTATTAATACGTTATTTATACGTCCAACTCGTTATGAATATGCTACATGCACACAACATTAAAAAAAAACATCGATAGTTCAGCATATGCCAGAGTTTTAGAGAAATTTTTATACGCCGGCATATCAAAAACGTCAAAGTGTGACAGGGCCATTATTTATTTTCCAAAGGAATTTTCAACCAGTCCTCTTGTGTCTTCTTCAGCTTATAAAACTAAATGACAAAATGTGACTAATAAAAGTGCTTTTATACATGTAGACACTAGTATTTTGATAGGGCTAGAGTTAAGGACCAATGATCACAGTTTGTTGCATCCATTTAATTACTCAAAGCTGAGATAAAAGCGATGAACTGTGATCAGGGTGTAGTAAACAAAACAGTATGAAGGCCTTAAGTTTGCTAAAACGGCGATCTTTCAATGATGTAGAGTTGTCAGCCATAAGAGTACATTTAATTTCATTGATGCTGTGATTGGGAGAATTGAAATGAGTGAATATGGGAAGGTTTTTACTTGTGCGGATTGACGATTTGTGGTGAAAGAGGACGAAGGTGAATCTTACGCTTGCCGTTTGGGTGATGTTCACATACAACAGATGGAATAACGAGCGTAAAGCTAAATTTTTTTAATCTTTTGGTGATGTGAGTAGGCTCAAGGTAGTCATTAGAATTTGGAAAATGTCTAAATTACTCCAGCCTTGATTTTTTCTTGCTGTTGTCATTTGATTTTTTTTTTTGTAAAATTTTTGAGTTAATAATCAATTTCCCAATGACACATCATTTCGTTGTTTGCCTTTATGTTCTACCTATGTGGCATAAACACTGGCATGATTGATTATCTGTCTATGTCATCATGATGATTCGACTATTGTATATGTGGAGTGGTAGTTCATGGTGTAGGAAGTGGTCTGCTGGCCCAGAAAGGTTGCGTAACATGCCGGCTATATAACATGATCATCCTATAAAAGTCCATGCAGTTAATGTCTTGTTCACTTTTAATACAGTATTTACAAATTGTATCGAGAATATGAACTGTTTGTTCATAAACCAAGGTTTATGTTTTATATGAATGTGTGCAATGTGTAAGCTTCTTTTATACAGTAATTTTTTTCTGTTTCTGCATCAAGAAATCATGATTGAGTAAACGGGCCCAGATATTGCAGACTTTATGCACCAGAATGCAATGTTAAATCTAGTATTGTAAATAAATTATATTAATTGCAGATAATAATAATAATTCTGGATTTATATAGCGGAAAGTGGATTTATAACCTCGAGGCGCTTGATAATTGATAATTGTGCGATAGTTTTTAATTGCCTAATATTGATTCTGATTAAATATCATGATGTTTATGCATTTTGATTATTGGTGATGGTACCATATGGGTGATTTGAATTTTAAAATTTTTGCCATGTTTAATTTGTATTTACTATTTCTATTAAAATGTTGACATATTATGTATATTGTATATTAAAATGTATCATAATAAGATATATTTCTCTGGTTCAACTAATGTTCAATGATGTATTTTTGTGTGTTTTGTTTTTTGTATTACTTATAGTTAGTTAAGGAAAAATAACTTGCATATATTATACATATATATAGGCCTATGTATGTATTATTATATTTATAATTATATATATCGCCGACGCTTCGACCGGATGGAGTTTAATGTCGTACCCAGGACGTCCCTAACTACCTTAAGCTATGCTTAACTACTCTTAGATACAGTATATTACTCTTAACTACAATTAGTTAAACTATCCCCCGCCGGACACCATCCCGGTATTTAGCAGTTTCGGGGCCATTCTATAAACCATAACATAAGTTAGTTAAATAAATGGCTTTTGAGAAGAGATCTAAATGTAATGATGGAAGTTGCATGTTTGATGTGTAATGGGATGTTA